ATTATCCAAAAATATAATATAATAAAATATAATAAAAATATATATATATAAATAAATATAAATATATATAAATGTATGTAATAGTTATAATGGAAAGATTAAAAAAATGAAAATGTATTACATTATATGTCATTTAGTAAAATGTGAGAGTAATTTTACTTTTTAAAAAATTATTTGTCAAAATAATCATTCAATATTTGGACCTCTACAAATAGAAAAAAACAAAGAAAGAATTTAAAAATGAATAATAATGATAATAATAATAATAATATTAATGATGATAATAAAATGATAATAGAAATAATAGTAATAATAATAATGATTATGATAATAATATTAATAATAATGATCATAATAATAATATTAATAGTAATGATGATAATAATATCTGTCTCTTATACACATCTAGATGTGTATAAGAGACAGGTACCTATTGTGATGTGTTTTGTAGTCAAGTCAACTTTAATTCCCATTTAAGAGGGGAGAATCATCGCTGTCAAGTGATCTTCAATTTCATGAGGAGCAAAAGGTATGTTGGTTACAGTTTGTTATTATTATTATTACATTGATTTGTTTACATTAATTTTTCATCTAACCAAAGGTGAGTGAGTCTTAGATCTGAGAAGATGAATAATGAGGGACGACTGTCTACTCTTAGAGTCAAGATAAACATGATTTTGAGTAATTGCCTTTCAAAGTTATTTGTGCATACATTGTTTAATAGAATGAACTATGAAAAATAACATTAAATAAACAATTTGTTAACCACTTCCAGAAATAATACTTTGGGACATGATTAATAAGACATTAAACTGTTGATCTATAGTGAAAAACAAATTTGGATTTTTAGGCAATTTTTTGAGCTCCCATATTTTATAGCTCATTTACTCAATACTGGACTGTCCAACAACTTAACCATTTCGCCACAACATGCCTCATATGTATAGTATATACAGTAAGTACAGATGTATATTATATACTAGCATAATGAACATAATGCCACCTTGTTTGCTATGTTTGTATTGAGATCTATTGCTAAGTATTTCAGATATTTCTATTATCTTTTACTAACTACTGCAACCACATTATAGTTTGCAACTTACTGTTCAAATATTCATATACATTTTCCCTCCCATCTATGTTTAGTCAGAGCTGAAGTATGGCGTGAGACCACCATTCAGCACCTGTTGAAGCTTATTGATGTTCCAATACTTGATAATCTCTTATCATGTGATATTAGCCAAGTATCGTGTCAAGAGTCAGATGACTTCATCGAGGATGTTGGTGTTTCCTCATTAGAACAGACTTTCAGGAAAGGTTGTGAAAGGTAATTCTTGATTTCTAGATTCTAGATAGTTTATCAATTTTTTTAAGGTAATACAAAAACACTTACAAACATGACAACAGTAGGATACTGAAAAGAAATTCTTCGCAATCCCAGGGGTGGATCAGTCCAAGAACTAAATTAGGGGTGCTGGGTCCATGAGGAGCACTCATGTTTCGACAATTTGTAGTATTAGAGAGTACTCAATATCAATACCTTTTTTTGAGCATTTGAGATGCATATTTATATGAATGTAATTTAATATTGTTTTTTTTTTGTTCAGTAATACAGTAATTATCTCAATTACCATTTTCCCTTGTAAAAAAACACCATACCCCAAAGTTGCATTGGTATGCAACTAGATGAAAGATTGGCCAACCCACTACTGCACTATCCCTGTACTTATATTTATGATTTGCTGCATAATTTAAAATTGTAAGTAATAGTATTTAATCTTTCTTTTTGTAGTCCTGTTGATTCTTGGATGTCAGCTGCATTTTCATGCCTAGAACATCACCCAAGCGGTGATGTTATCACAACAACATGTATTGAAAATGTTACTGAAGCAAACACTACAAAACATGCCAGGAAGATCCTTCTGTTTGAGGAAATTGCCAAGTTTTACAGCCCAAAGAAATCGCCGCTTTTGCCTAGCAAATTCTCAGACGTGCTGTTGATTCTGGTGAAGTTACTGGCTGCCGGGAAGCTAAGGCTGAGCCTACAGGTGCTACAACTCTGCATGATATTACTGAGCCATGACAGTGCTGAACAATTAAAACATTTATTAATTTTTATGTCTCATGCAGGCAGCAAGGATGCAGTGAGGTTACGTTTTGAGGTGAGTTGATCTGAGAGGGGAGAATCTTTGCCTAGCCTAGGTTCATTTTAATTTCTTTGTTTTTTTATTTATATTTCCTTTATTACTTGTGTTATGTATTGAGGGTCCCTAATGATCAGCTCCGGCTTGATGGACCACCCTCGTAAAATATTGTTGAAATAAATAAAAATAAATAAATAATACTGTAATCCGAATATTCTGTAATCCAAGTAGACTAGGTGGAAGGTTCTTACCCTTCTCGAAGAAGCCTATGGAATGTTCTTATCAGCCTAATGGGAAGTAGCCAGTCGATCAGTTGACTATTATAAGGTGGATGTGTCCATCCCTCTGGAAATGCTAGCTGCAATGCCATTCGGATTCAAGTTCTACCCTAGCCGCTAGCTAGTATGATACCACAGTTTTTGGTTCAAATTCTACCTGAATGACTTAAAAATATTTTTAAATGTATATTGGGAAGTACTTAGTATCCAGTGTGATAACATGTTGGGATGGGAAGAAAAGTATTCCTATTGAATTTTCTTAATGCAAAATTCCTTTGCAGTACCTGCTGCTACTCCAGATTCAAATTTAAACTAGCTAACTTGCTTAAAACAAGGTTCTAGTGGTTTGATACTGTGCTGTGGCTTCTCGACAGAATCACTTGCTAATTATTTCACAAGTATCTGAAGACATACTGAGTGTTAAGTGTGACATTTTTCTCAGTTTGGGAAAGATAACAATCTATGTATCTTCATTTTCATTTTATTTTTTTACCATATTTATAGATGGCGACCTTTCCAGCCCATCCTTAAATGTTGGCCGATATTCAGGGGCCCTCTACAATAAATGAAATAATGTGATGCTTTATAAACTAAATCTCATTACGAGGCTTAAGGAGTGCTCCTTTGCTTTCACAGTGTTTAAACCCAACCCTGTGATTGGAGGGCAATCATCTTTACCACAAGCTAGAACTGTGCATGCTCGTATCAAAGTCGATCAACATGAACACCATACACACAACATAGGTTTATGTTTATTGACCCTGATTCACCTTGAATACGAGCATGCACAGTTCTAACTATGAATTGGCTTGTATGTATTGACAGATGGACAACAGGTCAACGGTTTGTTATGAGTTCACGTCAGCCATCATCAGAACAGCATGCCTGACTTCGGCTCAGTGTACTTACATCGTTGGATTTATGATGGACCACTATGAGAAGATGTTCACCATTCCAGAGTCTGTGAAGAAGTCAGTTGATGATAGGATCAAGAAGTGGAAAAATGGAGAAGATATTCTGAGTGAAGGTATCAAATCTATGCTCCTGTTTTTTGCTCTATTTTTGTTTATTATATTCTTTCCATCAGGTTATAATGTTTATACAGCAGTAGGCCTACTGTTCCTAAAAGATCAAGATTCTAGATATAGATACTGTATAGATTCTTTACCAGTAAATAAATTCTTTTTCACTTTAAGAAATTATGTGAGGTATTGGGTTCAGATTTGCACAAATCAACTTTATTTCCTAATTGTAGTCTTACTTATTATGTTAAAATAAATTTTGATTATACAGTATTAATAATTGTACTCCTAATGATTTTCAATTCATTTACAGTACAACAATTCTGTGTAAGGATTTCCCTTCAAGACTTCCACGACCAGTGCATAACCACCACTGAAAAGGCGATCAAAGATCTTATGAATAAAATCATTGATGACACCGCTCTCACACTCAAGGAAAAGAAACAGCGGATTAAACAGCTTCATAAACACCATAAGGGTATTTATGACAAACATTTCCCAGATATGCTTCTGTAGGCAGATACTCTTGTTCAGAATCAAAATTTCACTGCTTTAAGTGTATTAAGTAATGGGTTCAAAGTTCATTATTCTATCCCTGTTGAAATAAAACATCCAGATAATTTAAGATTGTACTGTGCACACAACTCGTGGACTCGCAAGAGAACAACTTTTATAAAATTGTACTTTCTATGGCAAAAGGATGTATTGTAGTGCAGTAAAAACAAACTCTAGTACTGAACTGTATATTAGTACAAATTCTAGTGCTGTGGCTGTATAGGCAGTTGCTTGCACTGAAGAGTTGGCAATATAAACATTATTCTGTTTTTACTCTTGTAAATATGTTAATAATTTTTAGCACTTAAGTTTTTTTTTTGTATTGATTGTATATAATGCATGGATTAATTATTTAAATGACTTTTTTAAAATTTTAATATATTTGATATGAGTGATTGTAATTTTATTTTGGATTTTACAAGACAGAATGGTGGTTATGTTTTATATAGCACCCTCGGTTTGCATGGCACTTTATTAGTAAGCTTGAATGTCATATTTTAGTAAAGTATATTTGTAATATTCAGAAGTGTGGTTAGAGATTTAAACTTTTTAATGTGATCTGTCTTGGCACATTTTATTTAATTTTTAATAACATTTGTTATTAACTGAGTTATAGTATTGTAACAGGTAGAGACTGTAACTTGGTGATGGAAATGCTTGGCTTTTAATTCCAGAGTCCTGGTATCATCTTGTAATTTCCAAGACTTTAACTACAAATGACACTACCTAAGCATCACATGACATTGTAATTGGCAAATTTGATTTAAATGAGAAAATAAAATTTTCATGAAATATAAAACACTTTGTAGTCATTTTTTTTTTGCACTGAATTTTATATCATTATTTAAAAAAATCTTACAAAATGAACAATACTGTCCATAGTTATCAATATTTTAGCTCAAGGAGTGGGAGAGGAATGCATTGGAATAATTTGAACTGTCTACTGACGCAATCTATTATTGATAATGGTAAGCCCAGCCGCTCTCATTTGAGAGGTCCACTAAATTAATGAAGTACATTTAGGATGCTCCATAGCCTAGAAGCAACAGTACTGAGAGCAGCATAACTTTGTCAGCTGAACTGTAGAGATTCTTTGGTTCAATTATCACCACTCTCCTTTTGTTTCAACTGAAATGCAAGTCTAATATACTAAGCACCATCTTTTTGGAAAAGAAGTTTAAATAATTCTTGTGTGTACTTCTTGGCTCATATGCATGTTAAAGAACTCTGTATATAACTTAGTTGTCAGTTAATAAATTAATAGTCACCATGTAAGAACTGGACCATAAATATCCTAAGGTCCCTTGTTACTTGTATAGCACTTTTCCTTGGTACAATTTATTTGCTGCACCACATTATGAGTTTCAGCTGAAGTAACTATAGCACACCTTCAACCTTGAAGATACACATCCACTTATTTGTTGCTTTATACCAAACTGTCCAGCATTCAGACATCAAATTTCTCTGTGCATATTGACTGCCCATTCTCTTCGTATTCCTTCCTGCTCACACACATCTTAGACAAGATATCATCTGATTGGCCGAGAAGTTTTCCACCATGCCATGCATATTCAATAGGGCTAAATGTAAGAAAATTTACCAATAGAAAAATAAGGACAACAGCAAGTCAGAAAATTATACTAAAACATATACTGCAGAATGCCTTATCTATACTCAATTTAATTCCTGTACCACTTGCTAGTATCCAGCTAGACAAGAATGGATTAAGATGATCCCAACAAACAGTTTTGTATGCAATATATTTGTATAATCAGAGTATAGAATTTCAAGAGGTCCGACTTCCCTGATTTTGTATGCACGCAATGGAATGCTACAAGATGGGAGGGGGCGCCATATTAGAATTTGAATATGTACGTTCCTTTGAAGGATGCCCTCTAGTTAGTGGTAGTACTGAGAAACGGACCTCTTGCAGTTCTACACTCTTTGGTATAATTTACCAAGTAAATAATAACGCAAGTTAATGAAGTTATTGTTGCCAGCTGAATATTATACAACAAAGGCAGCTTTTATAAACCTAGAGTAAAATCTAAATAATGTTTGATAGTCTTCTCACATTCATTATCTAGTAAAAATTCTGAAAAGATATCTTACTTTTTTGGAAGGAAGACATTGACGTTATATTCCTGAGGTGCCATGGATCTAACATCCCGCTCCACTCGTTCTCTGAATCCTGGAAAAAGTGAGTTTCCACCGGTTAAGATGATGTTGTTATACAGATGAGGATGCATTTCTGAAAAAGATAGTTAAATACCATATAATAATGACAACAAAGATAATAATGATCATAACAATATTATCAACATTTGATAATTTCAGATACATCAAACATATTAGTTTGCTGATATTGTTTTTGTTATTGCTACCATCACACACAATTCCTGCCTAAGTTAATTTGAGTTTATTTAATTTTCATTTTAATAATTAAAAACAGTAAGTAGAGGAGATTACAAATTGTGAATAACACATTCAGTATCCAAGAACCAGGGGGAAGAAAGTGCTTTAAGGTTGTTTACATGAACCACACATCCATAAATAATATACCATTATTCAGGTTTAATTACTAACACATACTGGTGTGCTTAAATTGTTTGCTCCTTTATTTCTACCATATATTGTATTCAACTTAATGTTGAATTGATTCAAGAGAATAGTTGATTACCCTCAGGTGTGGCTGATATTGAGTTGATGATGGCCTCTGGCACCCCCATTTCTTGAATGGAGACATCCGAAGGATGAAAGAGTACCTCAGGTACAGAGAATCGCTCGTTGTTCATTCTAACAATCTAAAAAAAAATGCGAGACATAAAAACATCAAAATATAAAAACATGGGATATTTAAAAGCATTAGAAATAATGTCACGATTTTGATTCTTCAGTATAGTGCAGGGGAAATCTAGATTTTTTTAAATGGGGGGGGGGGGTTTTTCAACAGTTTCAGAATATAAAAATGAGTAACACATAACACTGATATATATGCATTGACCTTTTAAAAATTAAGTGTCAAGATGGGGTAACATTGCTCCCTGGCCCCCTACTGTATCCACCCATGTTGTGCAATTCATAATTTTTTTGACATCTTTACAATTACATTTTCTTCAACAAATAGTTGTATGTGCAGCTTCTTTGCAGATAGGAATTCAAGTGTTTCTTAAAAGCTCTAAGTTATACAGTATTACCTTACAGAGAGCTGATGGAAGCTCAATGCATACTGCAAATGCAGCCAAACTAATGGCTGTATAGCTGTGTTTCCAAATAAACTGGTTAACCTGTCATTTTTAGGTTCCAATGCATTGATTATTATACCTGTTCATGAGACTTTGTTTTAGTTGATGGGTCTTTAACATAACCTCGCTTTATCTGTGAAAAATCTGGTAGGACATAATCTCTGACAATTGTATTCTCAAGACCTTTTAATCTGAAAATTATCAAATGAAATGAGTGTTACATTAATTCATAAGTCATTAAGCATTTTAAATAGTAAAAATTAATTTTTTGTGACGTTATGTTGGTTATGTTTACCATTTCCTTGATATTAATAATTAAGTGTCGAGAAATGTTGTACAACTTTTGTATTGTCTTAAAGTAGACCCCGGGGCATCAGCACACACCCTGGAGTAGATGAAGTTTTATCCTTTTTAAACATAGTTCCTACAGCTAAACTTCTAAAATATTTGAAAGGGAGAACACCATGTACAGTATTCTGACTGGTCAAATTGTTGCAAATTTAGAACAAAACAAGTTCCTTATTATAAAACCAATATATTTTTTTTTACTAATTCTTTTTTTAAAGAGAAACATTTTACTTTGCAATTTGCATATCTTGGTTGAACTGTAAGGACACAAATGACACATCTTCTTTCACTTGATTCATCACATATGTTTCATCCATGACATGCAGTTGACGGTACGAAATTATTTCCTTTAGATGATTGGTTAATAATTTACCCCCAACACTGATCCTAGAAAGAGAAAATTCTCAACATAAAGTGGTAATAATGCTTATTTATTATTCAAAAATTTCATCTTGTTCTAAATTAGTACTTTTATATGTGTTTATACAATATGATGTGATCAGATCAAAATGCAAGTACAAAACTTATTGGTTTATCCAGAGAAATCAAATCTCTATACTAATATTTTTGATGAAAACTACTTGACATTTTGTATTATATTTCATCCCATCAACAGGATTTAATATCTTATAAATGATAAACATACCTTCTAACTGCTTTGGTAATTTTCTTGTTACCATGATAAGGAGCTATATGTGTAAACGAGAACCCACTATCGACAACCAAACAACACTTATGTGCTTTATCATCTTCAATTCGTTTGTATGCGCTCAGTGAACCAGCTGTCAAAAAATTATGAATATGCATTACTACCATACTACATATTCAACAAGATGTTAGCATACATGCTCAGACCATGTAAAAGTAATGAATATGGATGAAAACTGCCATAAATGTAATCAACTTCTACCAATATACAATATTTTAGACTAACTTCTATCCTACCATTTGTCCTAAGAATTGCATCAAATTTATACTCTTCAAAGAATATCTCATTCATAGCTTCTTGAATGGCTAGGAAGTTGAAGTAGGGCTCTGTGATGATGATTGTTGATTCCGAACAATCAAGATTCATGACATCTTTCCCAAAGACATGATCCCAAACCTGCCGCTGTACATCCCAGTTTACTAAGTATCCCTGAGAAATTAATACAAATATGTTTAATTAATAATGATGCTCCAGCATAACTTTAAATTTTATATTATTGGTTCACTGCTTTTCAAACTGTAAAACCACATAGAGGTCCCTCATTACGAGCTCTATAATTAATTCATTAACATTATATTATTATTAATACTAGGCTACATGGATATTTGTATAGTTTACTTTCTATTGTGTTAGAATGGAGATTACAAGAATTCCATAGAATAAACAGTAAACTTAGGTAACAAGAAGGCATGTTTAGGTTACTAACTGAAATGATTAACTTACCTTCTGAAAGGGTAAGACATAGAACAGAGATGACAGATCCTTACAATCATCTATTTGGTTGCAGATGTACTGTTTTCTTCGTTCACTCTTCGCTTTCATTATACAATTTGGAAAGCAACTTGGTATTAAAAATTATAAAATACTACTTCAAAAATTTTATATTTAGCTATTACTTAAAAATTGAATGATTATATTAATTTTATTAGGAAATTTAATTTGTTCTAAAAAATACAATCTGCAAGTAAATTAAATAAAATAAGTTGGCAGTTTCACTTGTTTAAAAATTAATACCTGAACCGCCAATTGACTTAATTAGTTCATCTATGGAAGATGTGAACTAATAAAGTTCAAAATATTGAATCAAAAATGGCTTGTAAGTTGTATCACTGTTTTCGGAGTTTCATACTATCTTATGTCAAACTTATCAGTGAACTCCAAGATAAACAAGTATTTATTGCAATGTTATTTAATTAATCAACTCCCTGAATTAATCAATCCTGATATTTGTTATTATAATGTCCTGCACAGTTTCGGAAGTTTGCAAAAGTTTGCAAACTCTGCCAAGAAAATTCTTGCAGTTTGTAGGGTGTTCACACCACCAGTAAAACGTGCAGGAAACTGCAATTCAAATTGACTATCTCCCACATAAATTAATATTTCTCCACTTGTAGAAGGTCTATCAACATAATTCTTTCACTTTTAGTGAGAGAAAGGTTGTTTCTATCATATCTGTAAGTTTTATTAACTTCACTTTAGTAGTTTTGCCACAATGATGGTCAGGTCAAACTCTTAACCAATCAAAATGCTGCTTTTCAATAGCTTTTCTGAAAGCTGACACCTAGACCTACAAATTGGCATTTGCAATTAGTTGATGGTGTGGATACTTTTAAAACTGTGACAAATTTTGTCAGAAACTTTGGAAAAAATAAACTTCACTGAATCAACTCACCCTAGTTGGTAAATAATTATAAAAATATAATGTCTTGTACATTGTTTAACACAGAGCACAGCCCTTCACAGTTCAGCACTTAGGCCTATAATAGTATTAGTTTCATATATACCATTATTATTACAAAAGAATGTTTGAATTGACACTGTATTTTATAATAAATGTTTTTCTTTCTCTAGTTTATTTGTACAGAATTTTAATTGATTTAATTTATTAATTGATTATAAAATTTGATTGAAATTTTGACATTTAAATTGGAAATAAAATTCAAAAAGAAGAACTGCCGAAAAGTAGATTAAAAAATACCGAGATGGTGTCCAGTGGGGAATTTTTACCATGTAATATTGCAAAATTATAATCTTATAATTCCGGCCCTGAAACGTGGACTAAAAAATACCAGGATGGTGTCTGGCGGGGATAGTTTTTATCCTGTACATTAAGATTATATTATTATTTGGTGGCTATTTTGAATTTGGCAGTCATTTTGAATTTGGCAGCCATTTTGAATTTTGAATTATAGGTCAAACCACCATTTCAACTTTAAAATTCCATAGGGTTCAGAATTTTTTATGTTAATGTGACAGTCATAATATGGCGGCCATTTTCATTATGGCAGCCATTTTTAACGTGGTGGCCATTTTTAATATGGCGGCCATTTTTAAAATGGCGGCAATTTTCAATGTGGCAGCCATTTTAAATTTTTTAATTAATAAATCCAATCACTATTTCACAAATCTTTTGATGTTATTACAGCATTTATTATAATAATGCAAATACATATATATTTTATTTTGGCCACCATTTTGAATTCGGCAGCCATGTTGAGCCTATCCGCCATTTTTATTTTGTTCATCGGTTAAAAAAGTAAAATCTTGAATGTTACTGCTTTCTGAAAATATATAGTTTTATACAATAAATATGAATAATTAAGGTTTTATGAGTGTTTTTTGTTAATTATTGCCTAAAGTTAGCCAGAAAATGACCATTTTCATGGTCTACCAACATACAGGATTATCTGAATTTCGATCCCAAAATTTTCTTCGACCATCGATCACGTTTTATTTCATAACCTGATAAGTAAAAAAGATAATTTGATGGGGTTTGGACTATTTTACTCAGCATTAAATTCTCTATCAGAATAAACCATTTAGAAAGTCTAATTCATATAACATATATTTGCCTGTGAACACCCTACAGTTTGCAAACTCTGCAAATCTTGCATTGTTTTAAATTCTCAAACAAGTTGCACACTGTGCAAGGAAAGGTTGCACAATTTAGTTGATCTGTGTTTTTGTATCCTATTTTATATCACAGTGATTCTGCACAATTTTCTACAGTAGCTCGCCGAGTAGACAGCTTTATGTGTCCCTCATTTACGCGACATTTCGATATTGCATGGCGAAACTCCAGGCCTAGGGCCTAGAAATTAAAGATATACTTACTTCGGTTTCTCAGTACTTGATAGGCCAATTTTTGCCAGATATGCACCGTTATCTAATATTAGTGTAGACATTGTCGATGAGAATAAAAATATACTTCCAAGCCAAATTTAAACATCAAAATCAAATTAACTTATGAAACACATGTACAAAACATACATGCACTGTGTGACCGTGTGAATAAAGTCTCTTCCCAAAGAAAGGAAGCGCCCTCTTTAGAATTTTACGATGTTTTTGATGATGATGGCTGCCGTGGAAGTATGACGACGAAAAGATGAACTTTCGATGGTTGACGATTTATATAAGTATGCGAACTTTTAATCAATTATTTAATTTCAGTTTCAAGTACTACTTTAATCAATTTAATCCATAAGCCCATATATAGAGTGTGTTGCGCAGTAGAAACGCGCCCTAACCTTATTCTAGATTCTCTTATTGCAGCCAGCTGTGGTTGTTTTGTTGTGATCTTAATGCTCATAATTCGGGGGTTACTTCGTCTATTCTATTCAACGTGTCAGCGGCGTCGTCAGCTTGGTTTGAGCCCACACAAAGAAGGCATGTTATTTAAAATGCCACATTCTGCATTTGTATACTTTTTAGCGGGTTGGTGTACATATTTTTTCTGTAGGGAGAAAGGTTATTGATTACAGTATTAAATTTCATCATTGCCAAAATTGTATTTATAAATGAATGGGCATAATGAAATTTCAATAATAGGCATAGCCATAGGCCTAGGCCTAAACCTAAACTAATGCAAAGTGTATAAAGTGTAAAAAAGTGTATGTACTTGTCAATTGTAGTCCCGGCCCCACCGGACCCAGGCCTGATGGTGACTGTAATTTACGAAACAGTTACGTACATATGAAAGTCGCGGCAATGTGGGGCATCGTTTTAACGTACATCCCCGGCTAAGTCCTCGCCACATACTGCTGGGAACTATTTTGTAGTCCCGGTAAAATACTCCGCTAATTAATGATTGAATGTTGCATGATAAGGCCTACTGCAGCTAACATACGGAGCTAAACAAGAAAAATTTGAAGGTCTAGCCCATCGGTCTAGCCTATGTCTGAATCGGAGAAGCACGAGAGTGCTAGGCCAAGGAGATGAGCTTGCCTGATGGAAGCACTACGATTGCTTACCACTAGGCAGATTTCCATGGAAGTTTGAAAAAGTACGTATTGATTAGTCATAGAAAAAGAAAATTGATTGATTGATTTAACTGATTGATAGAATTTATTCAGTATCTAAAAACAGAAATTAAATAAGAAAATTAATGCAGTAGTAGAAACAGATTTCCTTGCCTTGGCTCACTACTGACTGTTTTTTTTTTACACAACTAGGTCAAATATACAAATTTTCACGCAACACACTCACATCACCTCGGTCCCCGTCATTGTGTGATGGAGGTTCAAATTTTTTTACATAATTTATACCGTGATCTACAGTATAAAAAATGAAACCATGATGGTAGGCCATCTCTATATTCTAGCTTGATTTTATCAATTTTGTTTTGTTTGGTTGTTTCTTGTTCATTCATTCTAGTAAAAAAGATTAAATTTCTAAATCCTAAATAGGGTATTGTGAATGAAGAACTTAACCAACATCTTGAAGGTGTGGTAGAGGACTTTGTGATAAGATGTGGAGTAGATTTAGTAACTTGGCACAGAATGTCCAAGAGAAATTGGACACTGTTGTGGATAACGTCAACAAGTCGTTGACAGAAGAGGAAGCCGCAGCTGCTGCAGCTGAAGCTGCAGCACAACAGGTAACTTTAATATTTTCCAGAAGAAAAAGATTTACAATTACCTTTACTGCTAGTAGTTTATATACATCAGTGACTCTTTGAAATGTTTTGTTAAGGATCTACATTATTATCTGTTAAATAATAACCATGAAAATGATGATAACAATCATTGTCAAATTGTAAAATTACCTTAAGGTTTGGAAGCCTTATTTTTTTTTAAAGCAAATTTTAATATACTTTATGTTTCCAATTTACTTTTTACGGACAACTATTAAACAAAGACAAGGTAAGAAAACAAGTCACAAAAATATTAAATTTACAAAATTTATTTATAAAAATATTGTTAACAAATATCATTTTCCTGCACACTACAAGTTTTTGCCTTATCCTAGGTTTTAATATTTATTGCAGGCTGGTTCACCAGCTCCCTCGAAGCCAGGAGATACAGCAGTAACTATGGATACTGCAGATGCTAGCTTCCAGTCAGCTACAGACGCAAGCTTTATGACGCCCTCGGATACAGAGGAGCAGTTGATGGAACAGAATAAACTTTTAGGCCAGTTGAAGGATATGATAAGAGAGAAGGATGCACAGTTGCGTCAAAAGGAAACAGAACTGAAGGTATTCCATGCTTTTGTGTGCAAGTACAAGGAAAATGTTTTTAAAAGTTTTTGTAGAGCCTGTGTATTTGTTTCATTCACTTTGATATTTTTTTTTTTGGGGGTGGGGGGGTTGCATTTTACGGCGATTTTATTGCAAATAAACAAATGCTTCATTTAATTGACTTAAGTGGAAGTTAGTTTTGAATGTTGCATAAATAACTTTTATTTACTGAGCATGTTGCTATTTTATTTCTTAGTCAAGAATGTTATGGTTATCTTAAGTTTTAACATTGGTATTTTTAAGAGGTTGGCCTTTTGGGTACATCTTTAGATACCAGGAACCATAGAAAATATGTTTCTTTTCATCATCTGGTAAAAATATTTTTTCTGGTTAAATACAAATAAATATTTAGTCATTATACACTGTATTGTTAGATATTCTTTATATATTTGAATTATTTTTATAAATTAGGAGAATAATGCTAAACTATCGAAGTTTAAGCTTCAAGCCAAGGCCAAAATATCATCCCTAAACAGTCAGATAGAAGATCTGAAGAAGTCTGATGAATCATCATCATCTAGTCCAGTACAGGTTAGCAGCCTTCTCCATTATTATTTCACGACAACATTTTTATCAACACTTACTTGCTAAATTATGCTATTGTATCACATTTTGCATGTTTTTTTCATTAAATTTATTTCCTATAGATATTTTATAACCAACTAACAAAATATTATAATTCCCATTTGGACTTTAGAAGCTAGTGGATGAAAAATAACATTTTACCTATACACTACCATAGGTTTTAACTAATAACAATACAACTTTTAAAATTACATATACATTAACGTACCTAGAGGATAATACCTCAAAAGCCTGAAGTATAATTTATAATGATATACTTACAGTATGTCTGGTTCTTTTTTTAAATATATTCTAAAATAATTCCTTTGGGTTTGATTTTGCATACTTTCTTATTTTGACAAGGAAAAAATATTAAATGGTGACTTAGACCTCACAGTTTTATGTTTATCATTTTCTAGTGAGTTTTCAAAAGTAGCATAAATTTATTTTTTATTATCTTTAATTGAATATTGTTGCAAAATTATTTTATCTCATCTCCCACATGCTACAAATTTATTAACTTTAATGAAGTGAAAGTGAACTGGGCATGCCCAATGACAGCAGTCATTGTTCATGATTCAAGACGGTGTTTATGTTAGTTAAACAAGTGACAGTGTCATGGGATCAATCAATAGATTGCTCTAAATTTCCCTGGTTTTCTTAGCTGGCAATTTTGATATATTAGCAGGGGCGCATTTAGAAGGTGTTCAGGCCGTCCCCGTTCCCCTCCCACCCCCCACCTTTGGAAGTTTGAAAAAGGGGAAAAAAAAGAAAAAGAAAAAAATGATCGCCCAAAACACCTCAGAGGTTATTTTCGGGTGTCTAAAAAACAAAAATTTCATGGGGACCTGCTCCCTGGCCCCTAGTGTAGTGTTATCTCAATTTTTTTTCCCCCCCCCACTTTTTGGACATCTCTGGATCCGCCCCTGATTAGTGCTACTCATTCTGAGGCTTTATGCATCTTGCTTTATATATATTGGAACTATGTTATTTCTGTGTAATTTTGCAAGCACTTAAAATTCAAATGCTCGATGCCTTTGCTCCTTTAATTCAATAAAATATTCTTAGGGTAACAAATGTAATATGGAAATATTTTGAATGAGGGTTATTTGAATTCACATTATATTCTTCTTCTATATATATGACATAATGTTTGGGGTATTAAAATCTCTTGAATTAATTTACAATCATCAACATCCTATAATGTTTTCCTTCAAGTTTGTATTTACTGTTCATGTAAAAAGAAATTAAAATTCAACTTCATGTACATTAATTTAAATATACAAATTGAATTTATGAAAACCACAAGTTGTTTTGAATATTTATTAGGTAAAACATAATTTACATACAGTAGTTGAAAGGTCAGATGCTACACACAGATATCAAGGTGTGTGTTTGTGCATCCATGTTGCACAGCAAATCTGAAAGAGAAATTGAGGATATAGTGTGATAGAAATATGGTAAGATGTATTGTGAAAGATTATTTGTTGGAAGCCATTTGTGTACATCAGTAACTGAAGGAGCAATGCAAGAAATTGAATAGGCTAGTCAATCTTATCACTAAGCTATGCTTAAGAAGGCACAATACAGTTGGCCTGCTCCCTTGACTTTACACAACAAAGATAGTAGTCAGGCCTAGCTTTTTACTTGTAAATACTTTTGAATTGAAATAGTAGGCTACAATAGAATTACTGTATATTTCTTGAATGTAAATCGACCTTTGTTGTACAACATGCTTGATGGAAATGGGGATAATGTAATTTTTTAAATAATATTATTGTTTGAGTTTTTCTTTGTTACTTGTGTCCTGTTGTGCAGTAGATATTATGACAATGCAATGAATCTAAGCCATTGTATAAACTAATAAGGGAAGAACTACCACCAACTTGATTTAATCATGGTTGACTGACACAAATTTCTCCTGTTTTTTACATCCCTCCCCATACCAAGCTTCAAATAAGATTGTGATTATTTACCACTTCAAAGCATGTGATCGTTTTTTTCCTGGGATGATAATTTAGGAACCAAATAAAAGTTCAAACGGTGATGATGCATCTTCACGTGCCAAGCTTCTGGTCATGCGCAAAAAACTGGAAGAAAAAGATAAAAAAGTTCTCCAGCTGGAAGAAAAATTAAGTAAGACTCAAGTTTCTTTAGAAGAGAATGTAGCTCTTGTACAATCACAGGAAAAGACAATCGTAGCCAATCAGAAGCTCCTTGAGGAGCGGGATGAAACAGAACGTAAAATCCTGGCAGACCTTCAGAGTCGGGAAAATGAACTATTAAAGAAAGATGCTGTAATAGAGGCAATGCGTTGTGCAAGTGCAATGGAGCCTACCACACTTAAACCAACACCACAATCAACAGAGGTGAGCTTTAATTTTGTGGCATTGTGAGATGGGTATATTATGCTATAATAAATGCTATTTCAAAGTTCAAACCCATGTCAAACTCGAATGATGATTTTAGTTAATATATTTTATTTTACTGTTTGTGTTTAACTTGGAAATTTGACTGTTTGTTTATTGCACTTTAATTTTTTTTTTATGTGGCCTAAATTCAATTCAAGTCTTATAATTAAAAGGCAAGAAATACATATTTAGTACCGTTAATATAATTTAACCGTATATATTACTATCAATGGCATGAGCTCTCACTGGCTAAAAGCAGGGCCCCAAACCTTGAGGGTGTCTGGGGTATTCATCAGCATTTTTCATTTTTCCCCAAATCAGCTGCTTGGTGCCTTTAATTGAGCAGAACTTGTAAAAAAAACATAATACATCCTTAAATGTCAACTTTAAACATTTTTTTTAATGGTTTCTGGTGCTATATAAATTGATTGATAGATTGAAAGACTACAATTAATAGGATTGTACTCTAATGCTTAGCATCACTTGTAATACACCATGCCATAATTCATCATGCCTAATGTTTGAAGTATGTTGTCTCATAGGAGTCGAAAGACAAAGTTCAAGAAATGTATGCCCAACTTGTTTACAAAGACAAAATGATGATTGATCAAAACCATCGGTCATTGCAACTAGAAGCACAAATAATGGAACTGCAAGAACATGTACGTAATAAAGATGAAGTCATCCAAAGTAGAGATAAGGTTATACAGGTGAGAAAAATGTCTGTAAAACTTGAAGAATTAGAATTAGTTTTTACTTTAGAAACAATAGGAAGTTCATGCCTAATATGTCTATTGATATTAACTTGCAACAATGGAAGTTACAGTAGGCCTCAACATTCCAGTTGCTTTAGTTCGTTAAATAAATAATATTTTATTAAATATGTTATTTATATTTATTCATCATTCATGTGTAAGTTAAGCTTCATCATTCCAATTGTTTATAGTTGAGTAAATAATATTTTGTTACAGTATGTTACATATCCATTTGTTGTGTATTAACTGTGTTGTATATTGTATTTTTAATGTCAGGTAATGAGGGAAGAAGTTAAAAACAAGGATGAAGTTATTTCAAATCAAAATTCTATAATGGACAACATGAGATTAAAATTTGAAAGTGGAGATGAAAAAATGACATCTCTTGTTGACCAAGTCGAGGGGAAAGAATCTCAATTGCGAGATGAGAGGGAGAAATTTGAAAAGGAAAAACAACACATTGAGGGAAGATATAAACAAAAGATTGGCGAGTTAGAGTCAATGATGAAATTTCAAGAAGATAAAATTGAAGCATTAGAACTTGAACACAAGAAGCAACTTGAAAGCTTGATTGGAAAAACAGAGAGTGATGCACAGATGGAAATGGTAAAGTCGATGGAACAACGATTACAAGAGAAAGAAGAAACTATATCAGGAAAGATACAAGTGGTTGAGATGCTCCAAAGACAGATTGAAGAAAAAGAAACCATGATTCAAGAGAAGGATTCGTCTTTAAAAGATGTTACTGAAAAGCTAGAAGTAGTGCATCAGCAGTTTCAAGGCTTACATTCTGATGCAATGTTGAGGGAGGAGAAATGGAACCAAAGTATGAAGGAAGTTGAAGAAAAATATATAAAAGAAACAAACGAAAAGAACACAGCAATATCAGCATTGCAAACTGCTCTTAATCAGTATGAGACAGCTTACAAGGAAGCCAGAACACAGTACACCACACTCCATCAGAACTTTGATAAAAACCAGTCAGAACTAGAGCAAACTAGATTGCAACTTAATCAATCCCAATCTGAACTGGATCTGCTGAAGTCAAACAAAGATGAAGATCAGAGATCAAATACTGAGGAACTGACCAAGAGAATTGTCGAACTGCAGGAATTACTTAATAAGACAGATTTACTTCTGAAAGGAAAGGAAAAGGAGATTGAAGAGTACAGAAAGAAAACAGAAGGAAAGATGATCAAAATGAAAGCACAAGCAAAGGCAAAGATCAAGACTTTAGAGCAAGAAATAGAAGAGATGAAGAAGGTTAGACTTGATTACTGATTCCATGTCATTTCACCTTCCAGAAACCTTCTTGTGCAGCACCCCTTTCCACAGTTGCCCTTTCAGTCACCATTTCAGCAGCTTAGTTGTTCTGCTATAGTAAAATAGTTTCAAGCTTTTTCTATGGAAGAGTAATGGATTGAAATCCTGGTGAATGTATTCTTTACTCTTCTGCACACATTTTCCAATTCTCATTCACAGTATTCTGGAGTAAGGGTCCTCCTGCTTTCTACTTCCAAATTCTGAATATTGTTTATGCTTTTTGTGTCTGTTAAATTGTTGTTTAATCTCATACTGTTTTGTGGTTTGTGTTAATAATCAAAACAGATATTTGCTAAGGGCTGCTGTAGGTATACTAGGCAGAAGTATGTTGTACATTTTTGTGCAACTTCTTAACAAAATAGTGACAATGAAAATGGTTTATGTATCAATTCTCATTTTCAGTTCATATCTCATGAATAAATATGTAACTTTTCCTTTGTTCTGCCTTATTGAATGATTATTTGAAGTGACTAATTATTAATAATTATTATCAATTAACTTTATTGAATTAACTAATTAATTATTTTTAATCAAATTAAATATATATTTATTTACTTGAAATTCTACTGCACAGTATTTTTTGCTTCACTGCATGATCTTTACTTGTTTTGTGCTTTTTTTTTACCAAGGCACCCACAATTTGTTTTTTTATGATGCACACCAAGTATTTAATTGTTTGATTAAACCTTGTTCAAAATTCTACACTACTTCTTTATACTGCAGATAACTTATAGATATTAATTTACTGACATTGCTGCTTTTTAGCATCATGTTAAAACTTCCACTTGCTTGCATGCACAGCTTTTACATGCAATAATCTACTGATGTTTCTTTTTGACATGAATGTACATAAGAATTTTATATATACACTAATATATTATGCATTGTTAAAGATTAGTGATGACAAATGCAATCAGTCAGGATTTTTTTATATAGGCCTAATTTTGTACAGTAACCAATGAATTTTGGCTGCTAAAATAGTAACCACTGAGTTAAAATCATTAGTTAATGAATAATATTCATTAAGGAATGCTTGAAAAATGCTATGTTCATACATCATTCATATCAAAAGTAATAAGTCAACACAAATTTTTTTTGGCCTAATTTCAAGTCATTACTAAACAATCATATTATTTGTGTCGCTTATGTGCAGGCTGCTCCTTCTGATGAGGAGGTGAGTCAGTTAAAGCTACAGATAACAGAGCTTGAGGATGAGAAAGGCAATTTACAACTGAAGCTAGTTGACTTTGATGAAATCAAGTTACAGTCTGGTAAGTCTGATCAGGTTATTCATTTAGTATTTGCTGAGGTTTTGGTAGACAAAGTAGGGGAAGTGTACATTCCCCCTTCCCTTCCTGGTTCCCACTGAACTCTCTATTGTTCTAATTATCAATTTTTATTTATTTATTCTGTAGATAGACAGAAGGAAACAATAGAACAGCTTGAAAAGAACAGGAAGGAACTTGTTGAAGAGAAAGAAGGATTAAAAGAAATGATTGGTAACCATCTTGAAAATGAACAAGACTTGCACAATAAGATTGGAGTACTGCAGAAACAAGTAGATGAGGTATGACAGGTATTCTGACATGAATGTTAATGATATAGCGGTGGCCAGTTGACGAGACCATAAACAAATATAAACCCAGATAAGACAAAATTGATAGTTAACAACTCAGTAAAGCACTTGTGAAGTTTTCTAAAACCAGGACTGATATGTCACTAAAAACAGCTTGATTAAGTATATGTTTTCCTGTGTTTCAGAACCAGGTAAACCATGACGCCAAACAGATGCAAATACAGGAGAAGTTGCGTAGAGATCTGGAGCAGGCAAAGATCGACCTTCGGGAGATGACAGATGAAAAGGATGAGGAGAGAAAATCTCGGGTCAGTGTTGAGAGCAAGCTAGTAGAACTGAGCGAGATTAAGAAAAATGCTGTTAAACATATGGTTAGACTTTGTCCTCTCTCTTGTTTCTACTCTGACATCTGGAATCCATTAGATATGTTAGTGTGGTGACTAATTGGCTGCATGATTGTGTGGGTATGTGTAAATGTGTGTGACTGCATGTGTGTTGTAATGTTACTATGGGTTTGTTCATACTTGCAATTTAGGTGATAATATTTTTTATTTATCTAATTAAAACTGCCCTGAATCAAAATTATTTAAAAATCATTCTGAAAAACCAAAACACCAATATTAGCAATATGACTCTGCCTGCAGGCACACTATAGCGATAATGTTTGTCTCAAGATGGGACCTACTACAAGTAAGAACACAGGGATTAAGTCTATTCTCAGGTCTACTTTGATAATGCTTTTATTCCTCTATCAGCTAATTTTTGAAATAAGGGGAAAATTAGTTGGAGACTATTTGTTTCCTTGTGAGGATGACAGACAAAACAAGTTTAAAGACATAAAGCCCCAGTTGGTCATTTTGGTGGCAAAAGTTGTCAAAAAAGTAGACAAACCAGGCTTAAAGCACTAATCTATGCAAGTTCCATTTTCTCAGGTGATAACAATTTACAAGCAGGAATGGTTATAATTGGATTGTATGACGTGTATGTGTGAGCTGTTATTTTTGCATGTTTATGTGGCCATGTAATATTACTGCTAACCCTTTGGAATTTTTAACAATATGTTGTAACTAATTCAATTTATACTAATATAACTCTTATTATTCAATATTATTTTCTAAAATAATTTTAGTTTGCATAATTTTGGGTACAATATTAAGGGACTGAGTGATTAACAATAACATTTTAAATTAAATTTATTATACAAATATTTACGGGTTGAGGGTTGTAGTTCAAATTATAGCCCGAGGTGATTTGGCAACTGTAGTATGTCCCGAGACAAAGTCTAGGGACATGTACAGCCTTCAGATCACCAATGGCTATAATTTGAATTATGACCCGATTAATCCCAGTAAATATTTGTTTTATATACCACTACATAGATTCCCCGTTCTTGAGACGTGAAGAATCCTAGGCTAGGCCTAGTAGTAGCACTTCATCAAGGCCTGCATTTGATTACTCAGTAAATCACAGTTTCTGGCTTTGAGATACTCTTCAAATATCTGGACGGAATATTAACTTGTTTTTTCGTATTATGACTGGCTGCTGAACTCACTAACACTTCCCATGTTCATCAACCAGTTTAAATCTGGAACACTCTGCCATTGTTATTCCCAGCCTACCAGTACGCAGTGTGCAGCAGAGCGATCATCATCAAATTAGGTCAAATTTTATTAAATTAGTAGAAGCGCGCCCTCAACAATAGGCTTAGTATAATTTTCTACATCGCAACATACAAGCGAATTGCGGGCAGAACAAAAAGAATATTCCTGACTAGCCGGCATGGCTGAAACTATGTCCCAGCTTTTAGCCAATCAAATGCCTGGAATCTATGTAGTTGGTATATAACTATTAATAATAGTACTATATTGTAAGATTTTATAAGTATAAGGGTAACTATGCAATAGCTATTGGTGTGTATAGTGGTTGAAGGAGGAGCTAGGTGAGGGGAGTGTATTCACGAAATGTCCAGTGTGGTAGTCAGTTCAAGTATTCATGATGAATTGCCCAGTAGGTAGTGAGGATGATATCAAAATATAAATTATGTATTTTATGCAATTTAAACAATTGTTGGTGGTGGTTCCAGGTTTGTATATGAAAATGAGGGGAAAAAATTAGTATGGTACACATTAGTTGATGGGATGTTTGACTTTTTTAGATGAATCATTTATACTGTAGTATGAAATATTTTTTCTTCTAATAGTTACCATTTAGAATATATCTATTTAGTTTATTGATCTAATCTGAAACACACATCCAATATATATGTTTGATGCACTTAAAACAATATTAATCCTAATTTTATTGTTTAGTTTCTAACTTCATATACTTTCATTAACCAAGAGGACAAGTGTAAAATGTATGACATGTATGACTGTATTTGCTCTATATGTGTATGTTTTTCTGGGTTTTTTTTTTTTTTTTTTTTTTTTTTATAAAATATTATTGTCAATATTGTTAAAATTCAATGCTTGCACTGGAAGAACAATATAAGTAAAACATGAAATAAATATATGTACAAACTCAAGATTTTTTTGTTAGTATTTAAATCAAGGTTATTTATTTATAAGATGTATCTGTGAATGAAATAATTTATGTTTAAAATTAAATTTGAAAAAAATTGTATTTCATTTAAGGCATGTATTCTTGGGGTTTTTTAAAATCTTTTTCCTTACCTTATTTGTTGGCCCAAATTGAGTGTTTTTCTATAAAGCAGTCAATCTCTGGTTGTATGGAATTTATCAGTTGTTGGAATTTTGTAATAATAATGTATACAATATATGCTTATACATGTACAGTAGGATGCACAGGCATATATGCGTGTATTGCATGTATGTGTATGTGTATCAAACGTATGTGTATGTGTAACGCATTCATGCGTGTGTATCACATGCATGGGTGTGTGTATCACATGTATGCATAACGCATTCATGTGTGTGTATCATGTATATCACATGTATGTGTGTCTCATGCATAAGACACACACATGCATGTGTTCTATTTTATGCAGTACATCAAACCACTTGGGTATACAGTATTTAATCAAAACATAACCAGTAGGTTCCTCAGCTAGGGCATGTTTGCATATTGTTGATGTTTTTTATCCAAGAGGCATGAATTTTTAAACTAAGTTGATGTATTATAGCACAATTTATTATTTGTTTTTTGTTTATGAACAACAATGTTTATTCAATTTTCTGTCCTCAAAAGTTTAATATTGAAAAAAGAGAGTTTACAAAATATTTGTGAGGGAATATTCATAGTGTTTCACTCATAAAATGATATAGTTGAAGAAGAAAATCTACTAAAGACAACTGGTCATATAAATTGATGAGGAGAAACTCTGCATATAGGATCACAGCAGCTTATGATTGTTCACCTCATTGTAAAATGTCTTTTCTTCAATCATTAATATAGGCTTCCCAGGATAAGACTATTGAGTCATTGAAGGAACTCCTTGAGCAGGAACAGCTGACTTTGAAAGATACAGAGAGAGAAAGAAGTAAGTTGCAGGAGGAGAAAGTCTCAATGGAAATGAGAATGGTAGAGTTAGAAGAAGAAAAAGAAAGTGAGTTGAAAATTAAATGTCTCTATATAATAAAATAGATAAGTAATGAATAAATGCATTGTAGAATAATAAAGATAATTACATTGGTTTTTGTTGTATTTTTTTAAGCGATAGCTTATGCAGACACATTGGAGAAATTTTTTTTAATATGTGTAATATTTTGCTGTTACAATAACCTACATTTGCATCTGTTTTAATTTATATAGCAGTTTTGTTATAATGTTTTTTTGCCCAATTTTAAATTTATTAATCTTTTTCACATAAGCATTTACCAATCAGACATTGAACCCCTTTTTTCATATTTACCATGTGTTTTCTGGTAGATTTAAGTTATAATAAATCCATGCTAGAAGAGGAATTGCTTAATCTGAAAGATGAAAGGAACCAAGAACACAACAAATTCCAAGATGAGATCAGCGCACTTAAGCAGGAAATGGAGAGTGAGCATATGCCTATTGTGGTCATAGAGGATGAGTGCAAAATTTTACAGCAGAAGATCAGTGACCTAGAGGGAATAAAAGAGAGTTTGGAGTCCACAGTTAAGGAACTTCAAGAGACTTGCAAAAGTGATAAGGTAGATAACTTTGTTCAGCACTATTTTTTTAACATTTCACGCTTCTCAGACTAATGTCAATTGGATAACGTGATTTTTTAACCAGCATGAATGATCAAAGATAATCCCCATTTTTCTGTTTTATTTAATTTCAAAAATTAAATGACATAAATACTAAAAGCAAAAAGTATTAAGTCAAATAACACTCAAGTCTAGACTACCGAAAAAAAAACTCCCGGTAGATACCACTATTTTTTATGTTATTGATGTATTAATGTGAGAAACATTAGAATGTTTTACACAGTGATTAGATTAGGTGTTTGATGTTAAAACTATTTTACCTATACATAATCGAATCTGGTGTAAAATGTAAATACATTAAATTCAGCAAATCAATAACAATGTTTTTATGATTGCATGCTTTTATCATTTTATTTTTGTTTGAATTAATTTAAAATGATCTATTTATATTCAATATGTTATCTTAATTTAAAGGAAACAATAGACAAGCTGACAACTGATCGAACTTTTTTGGAAAGCCAGGCCAAAACCAGAGAAAATGAACAGAGGCTGATGAATGAGTCTCATGTCAATTTGGAGTCGCAACTTGGGGCTTTAAACTATTCTAAAGAACAACTGGAACGAGATTTACAGGACCAGGTAATACTATCTAAAAGTGAAGGCAACATCATTAGCACCACTAAACATTGCATTTTGCTGTGGATATTGGTGATTTACAAATGTTGATTGATTGATTGATTGATTGATTGATTGATTGAATGTATGATAAACATAAATGAATAGCACTCATCTATTTGTAATGTTTTGCTCTATATGGAAAAAAAGAAACCGGAAACTATACATCTTTCAAAAGTATAATAAAGAAATTTGTCCTTTTGCATTTTGTACTAAACAGAGGAAAAATTTCTTTCATTGTACTGTGTAGGCATATACTGATGACAATATTGAGTGATTGGAATCTTTTTAAAGCAATAAAAACATGGTGTAAATATATATAAATGACTAACATTTACATATGATCGCTGATTAGAAACAAAATAAATATTTAAATCGTAATTGACATACTTGGGAAGTCAGAGTCAAAAAGTAATTAGTATAATAGTAATAACCTGGTAAACTATTATGATATCTTTATGAAATATTTCCACATTTCTATACAGGTGGAGAAGAATACAGATCTTCAAACACAGATGAATTCACTCAATAGCCAATTAACAGACACTGTTGAAAAACATAGTAAAACGGTTCAAGAGTTTGAAAACAAATTATCAGATATGTCACGTAATCTTGATTTAAGTAAAAAAGAAGCTGAACTTTTCAATGAGAAGCTTAAACAAACAATGGAAAACCTGGAAGAAATGGCAGATAGGCTGATGCTGAAAGAAGAAGAATTAAATGCCTCTACATCTAATCTCTCCATAAAAGAAGAAAAACTTGCTGAAATACAATCAAAATTTCATGATGTTAAGGTGAAGTTGTCTCAGATGACTGAAGAAAGACAAAGTCTCGAAACGAATCTGGAGCTACTACAACTGGACATTGAGCAAGCAAATTCCCAAGTTGAGAATCAAAAATCTATATTTCTTCTTGAAAAGCAGGAAATGAAAGGAGTCCAGAATGGATTAGAACAGGATATCAGTGAACTTAAACAACAGTGCCTTAATAAGGATGTTGAGATATCTTCTCTTTCAGATAGTGCTGCTGATCATCTTAGAGAAATAACTAAACTTAAAGATATTCTTAATGAAAAAGAGCATTCAATAACATCATTAGAAAATGCTGTTAGCAAAGCTGAAAGAGAACTTGATGTTTTGACAGAAGGTCATAGTTCAGAAGGAAGGAAAACTGAATCCAAATTAGCATCACTCTTAGAACAGATATCTGACCTAGATACTGAAATTGCAAAGAACCAAAAAGATATTGCAGACTTTGAAAATCGTATAGAACATCTTAATTTACAACTGGAACAGAAGAAATCAGAGTTTGAATCAAAGAACACTGACATGGAAAACATGATGACCAAATTTACAAAACAACTTGAAGAAAAAGAAAAACAGTGCTCATCTCTACAAGAACAATTAATTACTTCATTAAAATTGGTTCAAGAAAATGAAAGTTCTTATCAGGAACAACGTAAAATAGAAAAAGATAATTTTAATTCAGTACAAGCTTCTTTGAATAGTAAGATGACAGAGGTACAAGAAGTGCATATCAAAGAAGTTGAAGAACTTAAAAAAGAACTACAGGGAAAAGTAACTGCACACGAAACTCTTAAGAAAAAGATGCACACACTAAAAGACAATGTTAAACAAAAGCTGGTGACATTCCAAGAAAATCTTAAGATTTCAAAGAAAGAGTTGGAAGAAGTAAAGGCAGCATTAGAAAAAGAAAAAGAAGTTGTTGCAAGAAAGGAACAAGAAAAGAATGAGGAGAAGATCCTCTTTACTGAAAAACTAGAGAATTTAGAAGCTCAGTTGAAAGAAAATGAAGCTCTTTTACTTGAGCAAGAACAACAATTTGAACAAGAACAAATTTCTGCAAGACAAGCAAAAGAAGAAATGCAGCAGGATATTCAAGAAGGAAAAATAAGTCTTAAAATAGTTCAAAGTGAGAAAGAAGAAATTGAGAATTTGTTAAAAGGTCAAATAGAAGAAATGGAAAAACAAAATAAGATCTCGTCTCAGGAGCTTACAAATTTACAAGATCAACTTAAGGTGGCACAATCTGAGATTGATGAACTAGTACAGAAGGCAGAATTAGTACAAGTTGAAAAAGATGAACATGATAATGATGTCACTTCTAAGCTTGCAATTATTGAAGGAGACTTAAAGGAAACATCAGAGCAATATAGTCAGTTACAAGAAAAATATATAAATTTGACTAAAATTTTAGAAGAGAAGGATCAGTCATTTAATTCAGAAAATGATTCCCTAAAGGAATTATTACAGAAATCAGAGCATGAGTGTGCAGAAATATCAGAAAACTTCAAGGACTTGAGAGAAAAATACCAAATCACACTGCTAGGTGAAGATGAAAAAGACAAGTCATTGCAGTCTGCCAATCACGAGATTGCTTCTTTGAAAGATTTGCTACAAAAGGCTGAAGAAGATAGAAAAATTCAGATTCAGAAGGCCAAAGAAGATACTGAAAACTTTAAAGCTGCTTTTCAACAGAAAACTGAATCGTTTGATTTGTTAGAAGATGAATTTAACAAAAGTAAAGATGTTTTTGCTCAAGAGAAAGAGGAATTAAATTTAAGGAACATAGCTGATATTGAGAAAATAGAACATCTTAAGGAAAACCTTAATGAAAAGACAAATATGCTTCATCAAGTCACACAAAAGATTGTTGATAATGAAGAAGCGTATCATCAAGAACTCAATCAGTTACAACAGCAGCTTGATTTGGTTTTGTCAGAAAAAAATAATATTTCTTCAGAAATTGAGAATTATGAAAGGCATATTAAAGAATACAAAGAGCAACTCATTCAAAATGAAGAAAGCTTTAATTCAGAAATAGTTTCTTTGAAGGATAGTATTGAAATGTATAAGAAAGAGGTTGAAAGATTGCAAGGGAACTTCAAAATTAAAGATTCTGAAGTAATGGAACTTATTGAATCACATCATGCGAAAGAAGAACAGTTGCAGATGAAGCTGCATGATCTTAAGGAAGAGCACCACCGAGAGAAGATCAAGATAGAGTTGCTCGAGAAACAGACAAGCAGTCAAGAATCACAACTAAGTATTCAACTCTCGGCTCTAACAGAAGCCTTTGAAGGTTCCATGGAAAGAATTCAGAATCTTGAAAGCCAATTGAGAAGTAAAGAGAATATAATAACTCAATTAGAGCAGGTTGTAAAAGAAGAGAGAACCAGCCATGAAAATCAGTGTTCCAAGTTAGAAGAAAGTTTTGCACAAGTGAAATCAGATTTAATTCGAAAAGAGGAGATTCTGCAAAATACAGACAAACTACTTCAAGATAAGTTGGAACAGACAAGCAGCCAAGAATCGCAACTAAGTAGGCAACTCTCAGCTGTAACAGAAGCCTTTGAGAGATCAAAGGAAAGAGTTCACAGTCTTGAAAGCCAATTGAGGAGTAAAGAGAATATGATAACTCAATTAGAGCAGGTTGTTAAAGAAGAGAGAACCTGCCGTAATAATCAGTGTTCCAAGTTAGAAGAAAGTCTTGCACAGGTGAAATCAGATTCAATTCAAAAAGAGGAGGTTTTGCAAAATTCATACAAACTGCTTGAAGATGAATTAAAGGATCAACATCATGAATTGACATCAAAACTTGAAAATAGTAATAAGATTAATGTACTAGCTGAAGAGCAGAATCAAGAATTATTGAAAGAATTAAAAATAAAAGATGAGAATATTCTGCAATTAGCAACTGAGATACAGTCTAATAATTCTAAAATGTCTTCCATGAATGATAGTCTTGTAACCTACTCTCAGAGAATTTCAGAATTGGAAAATGAATTGGAAAATAGATCCATCCAGTTAGAGGATCTTGATGCTCAGATGAAAGGACATACTGACGAATTTGACCAGCTAAACCAGAGTATTTCTGAAAAAGATTCTTTGATATTTGCACTGGAAAGTAAATTACAGGAAGCTGCTAAAAACTCTCTGTCGGAAACAGATGGGGTGATATCTGAAAAAGAGGGTGAGCTTGAACAAGAAAGACAGAAATTTAAGACAGAAATTACCAAATTACAGGAAGAAATGCAAGGATTGAAAGTTAAATATGGAAAGCTTTTAACAAAAGCTAAAGAAGTTAAGCTTCAACATGACAGTGCTAAACAAAACATAGAGACTTTGTCCAAAGAAAAGGAAAATCTGCAAACAGTGGTTGAAGAGAAGCAAGAACTATTGAACCAACAAACAACCATGATGGATAGTCTTAACACCAGACTTTCTGATGTACTACAACAAAAAGAAGAATCTGAATCCACTGCTAAAAAACAAAAGAAACAATTGTTGCAATTAGAAAATGAACTTGAAGCAGTGAAAGAACAAAATAATGAAGGAGATATTGAAAGAGATCAACTGAAAACGCAATTGCTTGCCCTTCAAGACAAGACTGAACTCCTTAATCAAGTACAAGCGGAACTAAGTGCATTGAAATCAGAAAATTGTGATATTCTTGCTGAGAAAGAAGAGGAAATTGAACGATTAGGACATGTTAGTAGTGCTCTAAAGGAAAGTGAACATCAATGTACAAATCTTACAAAAGTGAAGGAGAATCTCTGCGACCAGATTGAGGAGCTTAAAATACAGCTAGAAAAACTTGAAGAAACTAATGTACATAACTCAAACAGTATAAGATTACTTACAAAACAACATGAAAATGTGACTGAAGAATTAAATGAAGAAAGAAATGCCAGAGATGCTATCCAGAAACAGAATGAAATGCTGAAAACGCAGTTGAAGAAATCAAGTGAGGTTCAAAAAACATTAGGCAGAGAGTTAGAAGAAATGAAAAAGAAAAAGGATGAGTACAATGAGGATGTTGTTCGTAAACAAGAAGATAATTTTGAACAAAAAATTGGAGAGATGAAGATCGAATATGAAAGTCTTCGACAATCGCATGATAAGAATTTTCAAGAGAAGACATCTCTTATGACAGAATTTCAAAAGGAAAAAGCAAAATGCGATGCATTGACTGAAGAAATGAATGAGCTACAAAAGAAACACAATGAAGTTGTTTCTTCTGTTAAAGAAAATGAGAAGGAAGTTGACATGTTAAAAAACCAACTTGCAGTTACAAAAGAAAAACTAATACAGCTGCAAAATGAAAAAGCGGGAGAAAGGGATGAAGCAGCTGCCATCAAATCTCAGAATCAAGAACTTCAGAGTACTCAGAAAAATACCAGTAGAAAAGTTAAGGAACTACAGTCAATGAATCACCAGATGTCAACTGAGATCATAACCACCAAAGAGGAGATCAGCCGACTTCAAGGAGAGGTAGAGCACCTTAAAATGGCATCAGAAAAAATAAAGTTGTCAAAAGAGGAAGAAATTGCCAGACTTCAAGAGGACTTGGATGAAACACAGAATGATTGGCAAGCAAAATACAATGAAGATATTCAGAAATTGAAAGAAGAATATGAAATCATAAAGAAAGAATGCAGTGTCATGATGGAAGAGAATGCTAAGTTGATGTCTGAGAATGAGAAAATGAAATGGGACCATGATGAAGTACAAGCTGAATATGAACTTCTACAAGAAGATCATAACAAATCAATAATCGAAATTGACAATTTGAAGCTGCTACAATCAGAACTCCATAATGATAGCTCTAGTATCCAAGAGGAAAGAGATAATGTTAAAGAAGAATTTGAAAAGTGCAAACAAGAGCTTGAAAGTGTCTGTACTCTCTCTGAAGATATGAAAGCTCAGAAACAAGTTCTTGAAGGCAGAAACCAAGAACTTCTACATGAAGTAGAAAAACAATCTAGAATGGCAAAACAAGAAGAGGACCTTATAGCAGAAATTGAAAAACTTAAAAGAGAATTAAGGTCCACTAGAGAGCAGCTAGATATAAGCTTTGAAAGCAATCAGAAATTAACTTCAAACCAAAGTGATTATGAAAAAGAACGCTCCAAAGCAAAAGTTACTGAAAAAGAAATCTTAGAAGAAATGCATGTACTATCTACTGAGAACCAGCACTTGAAGTCTAGTGTAGACAGTCAAAATATCCAGATTGCTCAGTTGACAGAACATTTAAAACAGACCAAATTGACTGCTGATTACTATCAGGCAAGAAATGAAGAATTAACTGAGAAAGTGGAGGAGATGAAGGAGACAATGCATGAAATGACAACTGAAAGCTCTGTTCAAAAGACCATGACTGCTCCAGTTGGAATTATCCCAGAAAAACCACCCACTACTGATATTGAAACTGAAAAACTCCAAGAGGCATATGATTCAACTGTAAAGCAGCTTCACAGTGCTTTAGAGAAACGTGATAACTTGACACACAGTCTACATCTACGTGAAATGAGGTGAGTCACTGATGTATCTCTCCCTAACAATTAGCCTCAAACTGCATCAGATTAATGAATCGGTAACAAATCTGCTGATGCTCTATGGAAGTGCTTGCTCAAAGCATCACCAATCTGCTGATAGTTAATAATTGTTGCTTATAAAAATTACTATCTAATGCAGTGAGAAAATTCCTTTAGAGTCATAATCATTAAATTAGTCTGCAGCCAGCAGATCTTATTTATATTTTCCACTATGACAAGGACTGGAATTATTTGCATCACAACATATAATTACTATTCTTTTCATTAAAACTTATAACTAGTATTAGATTACTAGTTAAAAAACTAATATGTATTTAAAGCAGGATGTCAGTGAGCTCAAAGTAAAATGTACAGTCAATAGTATTTCATCTGATTCTTAAGACATTCTTTCACAAAAATATTGTGCTGTTTTAGTAGTACTGTAGTTA